AAGAAAATCGAGATCACTGACCTGCCACAACTGGTGGCTGGTTTCCACAGGTATGCAACGATTATTTGCTGTTACTTAATAGAAGGGCCAACCCGTCGATCAATCGCAACTGTTACTCCAGTGGCAAGGTGGCAAAGCAAAAAATATAAATACATGCACTCTTACAAATAAACGCGATATAAATTTAAACTTAGGAATAAACTGAGTATAACTAAATATTAGTACAAATTTTTGTTTGTGAGTCTGATAGACTATATAAATATTAGAAATTGTATATTGAACTAAAATGTATCATATGAGATTTCAAGAAATATGTAATTACTAGATCACTCAAAGTGTTTCTTCTGTGAACAATAGATTTTGGGTCTAATTAAGTTGGCCAACGCTGGTCCTATATCCGCACGACGGTATAAGATTTTCTCATGCTTTTGTAAGTTTGTTTACATAAAAAATATATTAAATGTTAACTTAGTTTGGTGGGCATGGCGGCGGTGCTGACTTGCGTAGCCACGTATATGCACGACTTCCCCGCCATGGCGCTGGACCCCACAGCCGTCACACTCAAGACATCGCTCTTCCTCGGCACATACATTGGAGGCATTACTTTCACGTGAGTACATTATATTATATTACAGACTAACTGTTGTTTGCGACGTCTGCATGAAATTAAAAAAGTAATAAAACATATAGCGTGTTTTTATAAAATACCTTTCTAATGGTGAAAGAATTTATTTCAATAATCCAAAAATACGAATCATCCTCTTTATAATAATAGTATAGAAAACTAAATTTGTAATAAATGTATTAATGATTATATAAATAACTAGCTTTCGCTCGCGACTCCGTCCGCGTGGGATTAAATCAAAACTGAGTAGCCTGTGTTCTTCCAGACTATCCTCTATGTCTATGCCAAATTTCATCCTAATCCGTTCGTTCAGCCGTTTAGGCTACAAACTATAACTAACATCCATCCATCCATTTAAACTTTCGCATTTATAATATAAGTATGATTTTATTATTTGTTATTTATATTACAAATAGCCACGTATATTTAAAAAACTTAAAATACTAATGTGAGTACTGTATTGCAGCGGTTCCTTGGTGGCGTACGGCAAGCTGCAGGGGTCGCTGTCGTCTGCGCCGCTGCTGCTGC